GTGGAGGGAACCTGGGATTTTATGGTGTTTCTGTCCCCTCAGTGCCCCTATTCACAGGCGGGTGAGGGCCTGAGGCAAAAGAGTTGAGAAACACTAGTTCTTTTGTTGTGGGAGTGAGGAGGGTGTCCGATTTGCAGGGAAATAATGTTTTCACAATTCCTTCTCCAATTTTGAGGCTGCATCTGCTGACTACGGCTGAATTTGTATGCTTGTCTCAAGGTGCTTCTGTGGACCTCAGTGTCCACAGACACTGTGGGGAGGGATAAGCAGTAATCCTAGCTGGGAACGACAGGAGCAAGACCAGGCCAGGCTCTATGGATGCAGCTGGGATGGATGAGAGCCTTGGGAAATCCTTCCACTTCTAATTCAATTTCTATGCTGAGTTCTTATTTTCCAGGATGGAAAAACTCTCAACTCTGAAAGGTCAGCCTCCAAGTATTGAATCTCCCTCTCAGACCACACCCACTGACTCCCACAAATCCTTGCTGTTCTGAAGGTCAAGTCTATCCAAGAACTGAAGAGCAGGAAGTTTCTGAGCTTGCTCTTCCTTTCGGCAGGTTGCTTTGCTGGCTTACAGTCATCAGCTGTGTTAACATCCCTGGCAGATCCTCTCTGTACCCGCCATTATTGGCATGGAGGGTAAGGAAAGTAGGGCATTGGCTCCTAGGAACCAGGAAAGGAGGTAAAATGGAGACATCTGAGTTCTGTGTTTCATCTCTGTGTTCATTTGTGCTGTCGTTTCTTTTTGCTCTGCAGAAGTCTTATGGGAATTTATCAAAATCTACTTGGCAGTCCCCTTGGGTACTAGACTATTATGGTCCCAGAGACACTTAGCTCAGGATTTTCATTGTCCTAATGTTGAACCAAGAAGGAAGAGTCTGACAACAATTATCCAGAAGACAAATACTGTGAGAGACAGTACAATCACGGCTCCTTTTCACAAGGGACTGAAACTCTTGCTGCCCGAGTTAGCAAGGCCCACACTTTCTTTCCAGAGATACAGTATTTTTGTCATCATGTCTATTTCACACAAGAACACAATTAGGGGAGATTGCCTCAACAGAGGAAGCTGATTAAGTTCACAGATTTATTGCAAAACCATTTGGGAGTTGTGGAAAATGAGTTTCACTGCTAAGCTGCACCTTGAATTATCCAGCTATAACAGATCATAAAATACTCATAGTCTTCCATGTAATTTACTCATCTCAAGGGAGATGCCAAATGCTTCTCCCAGGCTCTTAGTACCTTCCCAAGAGTCCAGTGAGTTTATGGGATTGGGGGGGGTAGTTCTGACCCTACAGTAGGGTTGGGCAGATAGTGCCATGCTGCCAGGATACATGTCACTATAGAAGACTGTACTTTGCAGAGCTTGCAAGCCAGTGGGTGGGTGAGCCTCATTGTATTTGAGTCCCAGGAAAGCTGTTGTAAATAGAACTGATGAAAACAGAATCCATTTTCAATAGCTACGAAGACAGCATTAATGATGCACTTTTGACCCAGATGCCCAAAGTCCCAGAGAAACAATCGGAAGCCATACTTCAAAATCCCTGTTTTAATGAGGGTGTTGACACACTCAGTTTTGGCTTTCATTTATTTAAGACCGTATCTTCTGTGTTCTTTCTGTCAGAATACTGTCTTTACTAGTTTCTTCAGAATATATGGGATTTTATGGCGATAAAGTTCAAGGATGCCCTTTCTTTCAGAATTCTTAACAATTGCACAAAAGGGAACAGTGCATAAAACTCTACCTGAACTAAGCATTTTTGCTTATTTTAGCAAATCAAAATTTCAAGAATACCAAGATGAGCATTATCTCATTCACCATAAGCAGGGGTTGAGTGTTGAATTGGTTTATTGAAATGAACAGTTCAAAGTGCATGTTGGCTTCAAATCCATTGTCACTCTCAAGTCTATGATCATTAACCACTAAGCTTATCTCCTTTCTGATACACTATCATGTGACTGCTAATGGATCTTAATTCGCCATTGCTTTGTTTGTCTTGTCTTTCTTTCTTCCTTTAAAAAAAAAAAGACAATTGAGTCCATATCTAGCCCTAACAGTTGATCATCTTTTGCCAGTATTTGTTGTTTTTCAGTCACAGAGCCCTCCTGATGTCGCATTAGGTAATACCTTCCCCAGCATCCCATTGTCTTCCTGCCTTCCAGGGCCTCCATTCCCATAATCACTTCAAGCATGCTCCCTAGGATTCCAGTCTGTATTTGTGCTGGATACACAGAGATGCAAGGAAATGGGCTGGTGGTTGTTTGTAATCTCTTTGGTAAAGCAAATTTGCTCTGCAAAAGTAAAGCATGTAAATCATGATAAAAATGATGTTCAGTGCCTAGAGTATTATGAGATTTACATTTCTTTCCTCCTCCTCTTTCCCTTCCTCCTCCTTTCTTTCTCCTAATCTTCTTCTACAACACTGTAATTCAGAAATGCAGGTAGTGCTGTCTTCTCTAAACAACGTGAGACCCGTGAGTCTCACTGTTTTGCTGCCTCCTGGCCATCCTTCTGCAAGAGCTGCCAAGCTCAGGGCATCACTGAAGCAGAGGCACAGAGAGAGCAGAGCAGCAATGACACATGGAGGAAACACCATCCACAGCTGAAACACAGAGGGTCAAGAGCCTGCTGGCAGGTGCACAGACGCAGAAACTTCTTTTATGATATTTATATTATCATGATCTTATGGTAAAATTATATAAGAGAAGAAAGATGATTGGGAACAGGCAAAAAGTGATTCAAAGTCCTTCAGCTAATCTCAAGTTAACTGTTGACCAAAACTGGGAAACATACATACACACACCCTACCTACCTGCTTGGGAATCCTGCTGTCACCTAATGACCTTTCCAATGCAGACACTTGCTCAGAAAGTGGGACTTTTGAGGCAGGCAGAATGAAGATTGCAAGTTATTATCAGTGGCCCTGACATAACAGGGGTAGAGTCAAAAAAGGAAAAATTGTGGGCTCAATTCTGTAACATTTCATGTAGCCCCTGACCTTTCCATTTCCCTTCACTTCAGTGAAGTTGACTTCTCAGACAGACTTAGCTATGTCTAAGAACACATCTGTGACAGGATTAGCGCTGCTTTTGCCCCCATGGACAGTTAGGACTAATTTGGTGTGCACCGAAGAGGACTTAGTCCTTCCTTTCTCCATGGGTCAAAGGTCCTGCATGGCTTACTGCTGTTTGCAGAGACTTTTTGTTGTTGCCTCTGCTGTTGATAAGCTCTGTGGGTTTTCCCCTTTGACCTCCAGAACAGCTTTAGAAGGTGGAAACTATCATTAGTTGTGGTTTATGGATGAATACACCGAGTCTTGTGGAGAAATGGATGATAAGAGCACTAATCTCTCCAGGCATGGCAAGGACATTCAGCTCAGGCCCCAGCATTTTGTAATCTGTACTCTCCACAGTGAGCTCCCATCCCATCCTCCATGTCATAGGATAACTGAAGGGAACACGTTTTTCCATAATCATTTCCCTGGATAGATTAGGTATGTTCTGTTCCAGAAATGTAAATAGAAAGGAAAATTGTTTGACCCATGTATTAAAAGTGAATTTGTGAGTGTTATTACCAACAACTGTAAGTTGGATCTACAATATTGCTGAGGAAAAAACAAACAAACAAACAAAACCAGGAGATCAGTTATTTCAGGAGAAACAGTAATTATATGATGATACAATGACGATAGATTCTTCTGGATACAATTGCCATGAATACCAATGCTACCTGAAGCCCAAGCCAACTTAATCTAGTTGGGTCACAGCTGATGTATTATACTTTACTGTTTCTCTACCTTACAAAAACACTTGAAATTGCTTTTTAGTCATTTTAGTTTTTGAAATAACACACACAATAAGGCCCTTTCTAAAGTTTAGGTTGTCTCATAGGAAATAATGAAAAAATTGGGAGACAAGGCCAAGAATATTAGTTGTTATGTGAAAAGACTTTAAAGTGAGATAGAAGCTTTGAGCAGTAAGATCTGGATGCGGTTCCATGGTACAGCACTTGTCCATCATAGGAAATCCCCTGGGTTCAATTCCCAGCACCTTAAGAAAGTATTGACTAGTAGAAAGAGATGAGCTATCAAGCCACACAAGCAAGGAAAAAAGTTATCCTAATGCCAAGTGTCAGATGCTTGTCTGAGTGACCACAAGGATGATACTAGCTCTACAACATTCTGGGACATGTAAAGCTAGAGAGGGAAAGCATTAGCACCTGCCTGAAAGGAGTGGGAGGTGGGAATGAGGGGTGAGTTGGTAGAACACAGAAGACTTAAGGTAGTGCAACTCCTTTCCATAAGTGGTAGGTATATATCTTAACGCTGACCAAATCCTCAACATGTACAGTTCAGAGTGAACCTAAAGTAAACTGTGTACATGTGATGCAATCTAATATAATTAGTTTAATAAAGCATTGGTACTGCCTCATCACTGGTTTAGGAAACCATACACGCAAGTGATATCACTAGGGAAAAATAGAAGGTGTTGGGAAATAGGAGGCATTTCATTGTACTTTCCTTGAGTTTTTCATGTAAACATGAATTTGCTCAAGGGATTGCATTCATAATTTTAAAAGTTAAAAGTGAAGTTGAAGAGAAGCACACTGCTTCTCAGACCCACAGCATCTCTGGAGATGGCATGCCCCTTGTGAGGTGGGGGAAGGAGAATATTCTCAAGGCACCCTAACACCTTGGCACTTAGGCTGTGACAACCTCAGAGTTTATGAAAGGTCAATTTAATTGTCTCAGTGAGTCAGAAAAGACAAGGAAGACTTTGTCCCTAGTAGAATTCACCCCTTGAAGTCCTAGAGATGGCAGGAGATAAAACAATACTCTTTATCAAGGCAGATTAACCAGCAAAGACATGTTTTCTCTCCATTTATCCTATAGGCTTCTAAGGACAATGGCCCTTTTGTCCTTGTACCTGCTGTGGGGGCAAGAGCCAGGATGGAGGCTGATGAGGGTAGGTGAGGTCATTTGCTTCAGATTTCTTACCTGCATCTCCAGTGATACATCTCACTTCAACACACCTTCCATTGAAGAGCATGCTCTTGGGGTGTAGAGGGATGTGAGCAGGTCCCAGCCTTACTGGAGGAGAAGGATAAAATGAAAATCCTAGCTGGAAGGAAATGGAACATGGCTATGGCATGGTTCGGGCCTGGATATCTTGAAGGTCTTGCGGCTGCCTTGACCTGGGCCTCTAGCGGAAGCACCAGTCACCAGGCTCAGGGCAGGGGCTTCACCAGACGCTCGGCAGGTGAATGAATTTGGGTCTTGGCTGTAAGAAAAGAACATAGAAAAACAGATCATCCACATCAACAGCAAGTTTACCCAGCTGCTGCACTAATGTTCCTTGGCTCAGGGTTTTACAGGCATGTGGGTGCTGAAGTCCTGCGTTCTGAACCCTTGCTTGGAATGGGATCTGTCAGCTTGACTTTCCCTTTGCCTTCTTTGGGGAACAATGCTTCAATTTTACTTTGAAGCCACTAGCCTTTCTCCTCCTCTTAAAATCTGAAGGTTGAATTCAATACTTATATTTCACCTAAGGGGATTGTGTACAGCCAGCCAATCAGGGTGCTGATTTTTTTTTTCCAGAGAACAACACATAATTCATGCTGGACCCATGAATATCCTCTCCTGGAAACTCAGTGGATGGTTTGTAGTGTTCTTTCTGAGAATGACCTAGTAAGCCTAAAGTGGAGGGGCTAGCAGATGGCTCCATGGGTAATATGCTTGCTGCTCAAGTGTGAGGATGTGAGTTACATCTCTGGAATCAACACAAACACCAATGGGTGTGGTGGCTTGCCTGTAATCCTATTCCTAGAGCTATACAGAGGAACCCAGAGGAACCCAGAGCCTCCTGGCTAGCTAAACAAGTTGAAGCAGCAAGCTCTGGGTACAACAAAGAGACTCTACCTCAATGAATAAGGTGGATAGTGACTAACCAAGACTCCTAGCATTAGACAGACAGACAGACAGACAGACACACACACACACACACACACACACACACACACACACACACACATAGACTTAGCTACCATCACAGGGAAAAGTGTGGTACGATTTGTGAAAGAACAGCCTCTGTGAAGATAGTGATCAACATGAACTGGCCAAGCTGGAAGCCAAGAAATTCACTGGATCCTCCCATGAGATCATCAGATTCCCAGAATGTTGGTTGCCTGTTGTATTAGACCAATCTATTCTTCTCTATTTTATTGAAGTCTATATTTTTATTCCATATAGTCCTGTCATTCTAGTTAGAAATCAATAGGACTTCATGCATAGAACCTCCAGTCTGACGCTTCTGTACAGTCCTGGCAGGTGAGCAATTCACAAGACCAGCCATCTAAAATAATGATTTGCACTAGTCTGACTTTGTGTCCTTCTGCAGAAGAAGGGAGAACATTTCATAAGATTTATTGATAAACAAATTCTCAAACATGACTGGATATCAGCATTCAATCTCACCCATCAAGCAAATTCTTTTGTGGACAAAAAAATGATTGTAGTTACAACTTTCTTTTGTTCTACTTGAAACATGATGAACAATGTAATATTTGGAAGAAAACAAAGGAAAAGGTCCACCTTTATTTAGTACCTCCTTCTTAGTTTCTAAGTGTTAGGTTTCATTCATCCATTCCTTATTCTTGCTCCTTCTTGAGGTTGTTAGAATTTCCACAGCACCTTATGGTCTTCCTCTCCTATTTCTCATTGCATTTTCCTGCTACAACCCACAATACCACGGAGAACTGAGACAGAGCCCGAAGGTCTGTCATAAGTATTCATTGAGTAATGAATACATGAATAAACATCACCATTGAGTCCTAGGTGTTTGTTGAAGTGGGCTTTTGTCATTAGAATATATAGAAAAGGCACAATGTCATCAAACATGTCACCCATTTTCACTTCACAAGACCCTCCTTCCAGCTTGACTTCCTGTTCCTTTGAGCACATCCTTGCCTGTATTGTGACATAAGGAAACCTCTGTCTCACATTATAAAAGGTAATTACTATGATGAGTGCATCACTGCATTTTTCTCACAGAGGGGATGACAAAGGAGTGGAGGCTGGCTTACTTCTCCTAAAAGTTCTGTGTCTTTAAAGTGATGTAGCCTGTCTTATTGGTATGTGTCTTAGGCTAATGTATTTTATATACATTTTTTCTTTTGTAATTGAAAGTAAGTTTAAATTTTTTATTAAAATACTATTAGATCATTTCCCCCTTGTAAGGATTCCGGCATTATGCTGGCCTGCCCCTGTCACCTGGCAGAATGCACTCAGGCAGTACCCTGGTCAGCTCAGGGTTCCATGAGTGCTTAGTCTGCAAAGGACCCCTTTAAAAAGAAAGACCCTGCCCACTTTGCTTCCCACTCCTCTTTCCTGCTGTTCCTCTGGGGAAGACAGGCCTTTTTCTGTCTTTCTCTTCTCTCTCTTTCTCTCTGTCAGTCTCTCTCTCTCTCTCTCTCTCTCTCTCTCTCTCTGTGTGTGTGTGTGTGTGTATCTTTACCTCTTTTCTCTTTCCTTCCCTTCCTGCCCCTTTCTATTAAAACTTCTCACTTAAGCTCTGTCTGCCTGGCATGTTTGTCCCTCCACCTGGTCAAGCTTGCCTAACACGGAACCCGCCAAGTTTCCCCACAAGCATTATTATGATAACACCCCTTCCTCTTCCTCCCTATAGGACCTCTCATAACCCACACTCAAACACATGGCCTTTTTTCATTTAACTATTAATATTGAACAAATGTACACCCGTATGTAAATGCATAAATATATAAATACAATCTGTTGCATCCAAGAAACAGACCTTAATATCAAGGGTAGACAGCACCTCCAAATAAAAGAATGAAAAAAGTTATTCCAAGTAAATGGACCTTTTACTATCTGACAAAATATTTTAATATCTGACAAAATAGGTTTCAAACAAAAAATAATAGAAAGAGATAAGGAAGGTCACTACATTCTATCAAATGAAAAATTCACCAAGAGGATATTGAATTTCTTAACACCTATTCACCAAACACAAGGGGGTCTAAGTTCATAAAAGAAACACTAATGCAGATTAAATCACACAGTGATAGTGGGTGACTTTAATACTCCACACTTGACAATAGACATATCATCTGGACAAAACCTAAACAAAGAAATTCTGGAGCTAACTGATGTTGTAAGCCAAAAAGCCCTAACAGGTGTCTACAGAACATTTCATCCAAATACAAAATAATATATCCCATTTCAATTGTACTACTGAGCTATATAATAAAAATAGCAAGGTATTGACATAAAAACAGAAACTGTGATGGACTTGAAGAACCATAAATAAGAAATAAGTCCCCATGCCCAACAGTAGATGGCCAATACAAAATGAACTCAATGGCCTCTTTTGAGGTCCTGTGTCTCATAATGTTAAGTCAGGAACATTTTTGTTTTGTTTTTCCTATCTCACAGGTCCTTTGTGTATATATTATGACTTCCAGTTTGGGGCTCTTATGAGAAAGGGTACAGATCCAGAGGGGAGGGGGTGGGGAGGGACTGAGGAGTGGGGAGATGGGAAACCATTATCAGAATAGATTTATTAAAATAATCTATTTTTGATAAAAGAAAAAATTAAAGATAACATAAAATTATAGGATGAAACAAAATAACACACATAACTTAAGGAAAAAGAAATTTGCAGATAAATGGATGAACTAGAAAATATACTGTAGGAGGTAACTCACCCAGAAAGTCAAATGCTACACGCTTTCTTTTGCTTATTGGGTTGCTCTGAATTTTCAGACTTAAAGATATAACATGGCATAACAGCAGAAGCCAGAAAGGGTCCACGGGAGGAGGAGAGAAGAGGGAGGGCCAGAGAAGGATAGTAGAACTCTGGTGCTATAAAGCGGCAAGTCAGAAAGGCGGGGAGGCAGGGGTTACTGGGAAGGGGAAGATAATTCAGAGGATGTTTGAAAAAGCCACAAGGAAACATATTGCTTTAAAAACTTCCTTAAACATATACAGACACACACATGCATATTTTTGAATCAAGAATAATTAAAGGAGAGGGACTTGTAATTGAGGGCACAGAAAGAGGTGGAAGGGAGAAAGGAACAGGAATGGGACACATTATGGAAATATAGTACTTGTGTATGTGTTTCACAAGAGAATACAAAATAATAAAAATACAAGTTAGAGTTAGTGAAATATGGTGCTGTGTTATTTTCTATAAATCATGTCAAGAACCAATAATCATAATTGAAGAAGCATATTATGGTGTTTTCATTATATTGGGCTTTCGGGACTAATATCAAACCTCAGAGTGCACATAGGATCCTTTAAGATACACTATATTTCCTTGCTGACTGCTTATGGTAACAGATATACATTGTGCCATCAAGGGAGGTGAGGTTTAAAACATTTAGACAATTTTTCAATGTCACTTTGATTCTGAAGTGGACAAAGCCAAGATCTGATTTTCATATTTTTAATACAAAATTGCATTCTGCCTTCTTCTGTGTGACACACTACCATCCACACATACACAGGCACAGAATCGCAAATATCACTAATGATCCTTAGCATGTGCTGTGTAATAAGGCACACAGGAAGTGATAAAACACTTCCCCTAGTCCCCGGCCTGTCCCCAGCCTGCAAGCCTGTAAAGCAGAGCCAAGGAAGACTGTCACTCTTCTATCCCAAGGCTGAGTATTAACAACAATCCTCAGGCAGTGACCCAAAGGTCAGGGGTCAATTTGCCTTACAACTTGGCATAGATCATTCAGTTGTATTTTGTTTCATGGTTTCTGGGGAATTATCTATACCACATACTTGGGTTGTATTAGAGGACTCATGATAGGTAGGTTCATGAATTCTTTCCTTTCTTTTCTTTTTTGTCCCAACAATAGAACATTGCCTCTTGGCAATCATTCTGCAGTAAGTTAATGTTACTTCCTTCACGTGTTTGAGGCTCATAGTATGGAAGAATATGCATTATGCATTTGCTCTAAGTCTTATCAAATGCAAAAGATTGTATTATTCAGCTGCTGCCCTATGAAGCCATGCTTGGGTAATTGTTTTGCTTTTAAAAATAAGAAACTGCAGCCATCTCTCAATGTTTTAGGGGAATTAGTTTCACCTACATAAAAACTAAAACCCAAAGGTTTTAGTGCATTGGGTAAATGGGATGATGTTTGCACAACCCATACAGACTCTTCTGTGCACCTCGGAACAACACTTTATACAATTCAACACTAGATATAATCATTTGTTTTGCTTCTTAAAAACTTTATTATTTAA